CTGAAATTACCCCAAAAATATCCTTAAAATACTCCCAAAATATCCCTGGAATTACCCCAAAATCACCCCAAAATCTGCCTGGAATCAGCCCAAAATCACCCCAAAATCTGTCTGGAATCACCCCAAAAACATCCCAAAATCTGCCTGGAATCACCCCAAAAACATCCCAAAATCTGCCTGGAATCACCCCAAAATAACCCCAAAATGTGCCTGAAATTACCCCAAAAATGTCCTTAAAATATTCCAAAATATTCCCAAAATGTGCCTGGAATCACCCCAAAAATATCCCAAAATATCCCTGGAATTACCCCAAAATCACCCCAAAATCTGCCTGGAATCAGCCCAAAATAATCCCAAAATGTGCCTGGAATTACCCCAAAAATATCCTTAAAATACTCCCAAAATATCCCTGGAATTACCCCAAAATCACCCCAAAATCTGCCTGGAATCAGCCCAAAATAATCCCAAAATGTGCCTGGAATTACCCCAAAAATATCCTTAAAATATTCCAAAAAAATCCCAAAAAAATCCCAAAAATATCCCAAAAAAATCCCAAAAAATTCCCAAAAATCCCAAAAAAATCCCCAAAAAATCCAAAAAAAATTCCAAAAAAATCCCAAAAAATTCCCCAAAAAATCCCAAAAAAATCCCCAAAAAATCCCCAAAAAATCCCCCAAAAAATAAAAAAAAATCAAAAAAAATCCCAAAAAATTCCCAAAAAAATCCCCCCAAAAATAAAAAAAAATCCAAAAAAATCCCCAAAAAAATTCCCAAAAAAATCCCAAAAAATTCCCAAAAAATTCCCAAAAATTCCCCAAACCCCCCCAGACCGATTTAACCCCTCGTTGCCCACCTTGTAGAGGCGCTGCTCCTCGGGGGGCCGGTGCAGGATGCCCCAAAATCCCCCCAAAAATCCCCCAAAATCCCCCAAAAAATCCAAAAAAAATCCCAAAAAATCCCCCCCAAAAATCCCAAAAAAATCCCAAAAAAATCCCAAAAAAATCCCCAAAAATTCCCAAAAAATCCCAAAAAATTCCCAAAAAATTCCCCAAAAATCCCCAAAAAATAAAAAAAAAATCAAAAAAAATCCCCAAAAAATCCCCCAAAAATCCCCAAAAAATCCCCCAAAAAATAAAAAAAAAATCCCCCAAAAATTCCAAAAAAATCCAAAAAAAATTTAAAAAAACCCCAAAAAAATCTCAAAAAAATCCCAAAAAAATCCCCAAAAATTCCCAAAAAATTCCAAAAAATCCCCAAAAAATCCCCTAAAAAATAGAAAAAAAAATAAAAAAAAATTCCCAAAAAATTCCCAAAAAATCCCCCAAAAAATCCCCAAAAAATCCTCAAAAAATAAAAAAAAAATCCCAAAAAATCCCAAAAAAATCCCAAAAAATCCCAAAAAATTTCCAAAAAATCCCAAAAAAACTCCCAAAAAATCCCCAAAAAATCCAAAAAAAATTCCAAAAAAATCCCCCAAAAAATCCCCAAAAAATCCCAAAAAAATCCCCAAAAAATCCCCAAAAAAAAATCCCAAAAAAATCCCCAAAAAATCCCCAAAAATTCCCAAAAAATCCCCAAAAATCAAAAAAAAATCCAAAAAAATAAAAAAAAAATCCAAAAAATTCCCAAAAAATTCCCAAAAAATTCCCAAAAATTCCCAAATCCCATTAACCCCTCGTTGCCCACCTTGTAGAGGCGCTGCTCCTCGGGGGGCCGGTGCAGGATGCCCTGCACGATCCTCTTCAGCTCCAGCACGGTGGAGGATTCCTTGGCCTCGGTGAAAATCGTGGTCTTGTGGCGCCGGATCATCAGGAACACGTCCTGGGGGGGTGGGCAAGCGGAAATGGAGGGGTGGCTAGTGAAAATCGGGGGGTGGCCAGCGGAAATCGGGG